TCGATTGCCTAACTGCGGTTATAAAACCAGAAATTATGAGTTTTCTGATTTATACGATTAAAATTATCTATTTATGAATATTATCTACTTTTTTCTTCAAATTATTTTTATCCTAAAATTATATTTTTTTAAATTGTACAGACAATTTAATAGTAAATTGTACTTTAAATCTTTAATCAACATCAATTTGTTCTATCCATAGAGAGTAATTTAAAACCAATTAAAAAAAATCTCATCAATTATATTTTCAACTTCAACTCAAATTATAAATTTCTCATACTTTGATTACAATTTATATATATTTTTTAATTAATAATTAGAAATGAAAGAAACGGTTCGCAAGTAAAGCCATAATTTAAGTGAGTCACGAACACGAGTCTCGTGACTCGGGGCTTTCTCTTTTTGTTTTGATTTTGAAGAGGAGCGAAACGAGATGCGCCTAGCTTAGCAATTTAAGCCAATAATTCCTCGTCCCATCTCGTGGTCATCGTTTCTCTTTAAGCAGTATGAAATTCTACAAAGCACGTGACAAATACCTGACTTGTTACGAGTTATTATCGTTAGTTATTTGCTGTGATCATCAAATTGATAAATCGAATAAATTTACGATTACGAATTAAGTACTCGATTAATCAATGTGTTTTTTTTTGTAGGTAACAATCAATTATTAAGTATGTAATGTATTAGGGCGATCAAACAATTGTATTGTAATACTTAAGTATTGTTTTGAAGCATGTGATTAATAATTATTATTTATTATTAATCGTATATCCGGCTTGTCAATCGGAAGTCTCCAAATTAGAAGAACCTAATTTGGAGATTGTTGCTAAAATGTTGCTGTAGCGTTTTCTCTTCGATGTTTTATCTGATGTGTTAAGCTCCAGAAGTGTCAAGTTGAAAAAGTAAGAAAATTGTGATCTTTGTCATCAATGCTGTTTTAGCTGCTTCCATTCTATATTCAAGTGGATATATGTTGACAATGATTGTAGGTGATCTATTATGCACTCATGCATCAGCTCCATATGATCCAATACTGCTTTTCCTGTATCATGTAAAAAGCTGAGAAAGCCTTTCTCATTCCAGTTTCTTCTTCTTTAATAACACTATTATGCTGGCATCAAAACTAGTCCTGTAGTTTTGAAGTCAATGATGTCTTCTAGTTTTGTCCCCCACGCACTGTACTCTATATTTATCACAAGATAACATCTTTGCGTTGTCGTGGACGTGAACTCTAGCTTCATGCTTCTCAACAAACTTTTAATTTCTTCCTTAACGGTTAGAATTCGGATGTGTCTAAATATATCTGATCTTCATGCATACCAGTGGGCATTCACTTGATATTCGAGTCACTGGCGGAGTCCCAAAGCTGGATGCCGTAGTACCATATTGGTTTCAGGATCTGATTATAAATCAGTAGTTTGTTGGGGATTGAATGTTTCGACTTACTCCCAATCAAGAGCTGTCTGTTTTAGGGCGAATTTTCTCTTTTCTTCTTTAAGTTTGGTGTCCAGAGCCATGCCTTGGTATATCTTGTTGTTCTTGTATAGGCTAATGTGCCATTTATATCTAAAGGTATATCTAAATCTTTTTCTGTTTCTGGGTTGAGTTGGAATGGGTTGGGTTGGGTTGCGTTTGATTGGCTTGGTATGGGTTCGATTAGGTTGGATTGGATTGGGTTACTGGTCAAACACATCGTATCAAGTGTATGTATGTATAAGTGTCGTATCAGGGAATTAACCACCAAAAGATTATGGATATGTGGCCATTATGAAGTAAACAAACACATTTATAAGATGAGACTTGTTATTAAAGAGATGAGTTTTTTTAATAACCTGTTTTTTGCAGAAAAAAAAATGGCAAGTGTTGCACCATTTTGAAAACTTGACTAAACAGGCCATCTTTTGAAATAACTTGCCAAGGGCGTTGTACTACTCCTTTTTTTAGAAATCGTGTGTTAAACTTAATAGACATAAATTCTTTCAACCGTAACTCAATCAACTTAATATTTTTTTTTTCAAAACTAATGACTTTTGTTGTTTGATTTGTAGTCTATTTTTTTGTTGTGTATTTTAGGAATACATTATTAAAAAATCACTATCAAATTGCGGACATTTCTAACCGTAGTACCTAAAGATATGATGAACGTGAGCGAATTTTAACATTTTCAAAAATATGTCTATTACCACTTAAGTAAAAAACATGGCATTTTTTTCTCATTTTTACCAGAACAGGTATGGGTTGGCCTCTCACCCGGTGCCTGCTTGACGTTGAGTTTCGGGACACCTGTATATATATAGCAAAAACCTTTCTCATTCCAATTTCTTCTTGTTCAATAACACTATTTGAAGTCATTGATGTCTTCTAATTTATATTTATACACAAAATAACATCTATGTATTGTTGTGGAGGTGAAGTCTAGCTTCATTCTTCTCAGCAAACTTTAAATTTCTTCCTTAACGGTTAGAATTCGGATGTGTCTAGATATATCTGATCTTCACGCTGGTATGCGTGGGCACTTAATGTTCACTTAATATTTGAGTCATTAACAGAATCACAGAAGTGGATGCCGTAGTGCTATATTGGTTTCAAGGTCATCAAATAAAGTTGATTGTTTTAGAGCGAATTCTGTTCTTTTCCTCTTTAAGTTTAGTGTCCAGAGCCATGCCTTGATACATGACGTTGTTCTCATATAGGATAATGATGCGATTTATATCTAGGGGCGCAGTTTCATTTTATTTAATTTTATCCTCTATGTTTTGGTCCTGTCGAGTATTGCATTGTTGGCTGTTTCTAGTTTCCGAGTAGAAAACTTCTGTTCTTTTTAAACTGTAAGTAATGCATTGAAAAAGTATTTTATGCAAGTAATGTTGTGCCATCTGCAAAGATAGCCACCGCAGTTTCCTCCAACTCTGGAATGTCAGAGTCAGGATCTGTCCAAGATGTACGATAATATCTCCACGTATTGCGTTCTTGAGTAGTTTATTTAATTTGTGTATCCAGCCTTCATATCAAACATTGTCAAAGGATTTTGCGATATCTAAAAAGTCTCTTGAGCAGATTTTCTTTTCTTCCAAATCCAGTCCAATTATGTTGGTTATTCAACGCAGTTGGTCTATTGTTGAGCGCTGAATTTTTGCATGAATCTAAATTGATAATCTGCAGTTATGTTGTTCTAGATTCTATTATTGGCGCAGTCTTTTGAGCAGCAGTAGTGATTTGGAATGGGTTGGGTTGGGTTGGGTTCGAAATAATAAACAATTAAGTGTCGTATCAAGCGAATCAATCAAAGATTGATGGATATGTGTGTTCTTCTAATTTGGAGATTGTTGCTAAAATGTTGCTGTAGCGTTTTCTCTGCGATGTTCTATCTGATGTGTTAAGCTACAGAAGTGTCAAGTTGAAAAAATAAGAAAATATGAAGATGTGATTTTTGTCATCAATGCTGTTTTATTAAGTGGATATATGTTGACAATGATTGTAGGTGATCTATTATGCACTCATGCATCAGCTCCATATGACCTACCGCCAATACTGCTTTTCCTGTATCATGTAAAAAGCTGAGAAACCGGCGGATATATGTTGACAATGATTGTAGGTGATCTATTATGCACTCATGCATCAGCTCCATATGACCTACCGCCAATACTGCTTTTCCTGTATCATGTAAAAAGCTGAGAAACCGACATCATTTCAGTTTCTTCTTCTTTAATAACACTATTATGCTGGCATCAAAACTAGTCCTGTAGTTTTAAAATCAGTGATGTCTTCTAGTTTAGTCCCCCACGCACTGTACTCTATATTTATCACAAGATAACATCTTTGCGTTGTCGTAGACGTGAACTCTAGCTTCATGCTTTTCAACAAACTTTTAATTTCTTCCTTAACGGTTAGAATTCTGATGTGTCTAAATATATCTGATCTTCATGCATACCAATGGGCATTCCCTTGATATTCGAGTCACTGGCAGAGTACCAGAGGTGGATGCCGTAGTGCCATATTCGTTTCCGGATCTAATTGGAAATCAGTTGTTTGTTGGGGATTGAAAGTTTCAAATTGCTCTCAATCAAGAGCTGTCTGTTTTAGTTCGAATTTTCTCTTTTCTTCTTTAAGTTTGGTGGCTAGAGCCATGCCTTGGTATATGTTGTTGTTCTTGTATAGGCTAATGGTGGCATTTATATCTAAAGGTATATCTAAATCTTTTTCTGTTTCTGGGTTGAGTTGGAATGGGTTGGGTTGGGTTGCGTTTGATTGGGTTGGTTTGGATTCGATTAGGTTGGATTGGGTTGGGTTACTGGTCAAACACATCGTATCAAGTGTATGTATGTATAAGTGTCGTATCAAGTGAATTAACCACCAAAAAATTATGGATATGTGGCCACTATGAAGTAAACAAGCACATTTATAAGATGAGACTTGTTATTAAAGAGATTAGATAGAAAATAGAAAAAGTTGAGTATAGTATATACTATTTTGCTGATAACAAATTTTATCAGCTTATTTGATCAATCTGCATCAATTACACAATTTATTACTTAACTCCATAAAATTTATTTATCTCTTATTTCTTTTTCTTCATTCAATATTTTATTTTATACATTATTCAAATGAAAACTTTTCTAGTTTTTCTAGTCTTTGTCTCTTCAAATATTTAACCCAGCACAAAGCAACCGCGGTTGCGTTCCACTTAAATTATTTATGTAGAACAAAGAAATCCAGAATACCTTACGCTCAGCCATAAGCTATAAATCTCAGAAAATTTTCCATTGGCTCATTCTATGAATAAATCATTCTCATATACAATCAATTAAAGAAATCGATTAATCTTTAACTAGAAATGTTTATTTGTGAGTTAAGTTTAAAACCACGTTAAAACAGCTGGTCTTTGTTGTTCGTGGTTGAGATCAGCTGGTTGTGCTTTTTAAAACCTGGCCGGTTCCACGTGCGATGCGCGTGACGGTCACGTGACCATCGCCTGTGGGATCGATGTTTCGAACAGGACTATCCCTAAGCCTGGCACAGCCGCAGCCAGTTGTTCCTAAGACTGCGAACAGATCACGTGATTCGTGAAATGTGTATGTATAAAATTTTCTTTTTTTTATTCTAAAAGCTTTCTTATTTAATAATTAATAACATTTAGTACTTTAACTAGTAGAAATTTCTTTAATCGTTTTGAGCAATTAATTTTTTTGTGACTAAATTAAAATTTTATTTTCAAATTAGATGTAGAACAAAAAAAAATTTTTTTTATAAACAATTTAGGATAGCTTTTATTTGGGAGTGCGAGTTCAATGCGCGCTCTCATTTTTTTTGTTAACAAGAAGCCGGATCCGTACCGTTCGTTGTTGGTTCCTGGCTTTGTGGAATTTTCCATGAATCCTGGTGAAGGACATGCGCGCATGTAAAAGCCTTGACCTTCTTTATAACGTTTCGAGTGGGCATCCCTACTGAATGGTTACGATATTAATCAATATTGTACCAGAAATGTTTTATCATTAACCGTATCATTATTCTAAATCAGTACAATTTCTATTTCAATATTTATATCATGCACATAGTATACAAGCGAAATAAATTTATATATTTGCAAGTAAAATTTTTGAATAATACTTAACAAGAATTCCTATTAAAGTTAATTCAAGATAATTCAAAAATTAAAAATCTTTCCTTATTTGAAACATTTAAATAATTTAAAAATATTTCTATTCCCAAGTAAATTTATGCCACCTACTAGGAATCGTTTCAATAAAATTGTGTGCCAAGATACTGAACACGTGCCCATTTGAATTTATTAACTGTTCCATACGCCCAACTTACTTAGAATTTGCGTAACATTTCCATTTTTGATCTAAACTTATTTCTCATTCAATTTAAAGTGTAATAATAATATTTGAAAAGAAAAAAAGCAAAGAATTACTCCTTGTGCACACTACTTCAATATTGTTGACCTGGTTTCTATTGAAATGTAAAAGTTATTGTAGGAAAAAAGAAATGGTTTTATCTTTTTATTAAAAAAAAATCTATTAACATTTTATGATAATGCGATAACCTTAATTCAAACGCGTATAAATTATTTGGATTTAAATTTTTTGTTAAATCATCAACAATATATATATTTTATGATTTGTTATTATAAATTGTTTGATTACCATGAACAATGGGTACTCAAAATTGGATATGGTTAAGTTAAAATAATACCGCGTGACTGAAAAAAAAAATAGTCAGATTTAATTTTATTTTACACTCTGTTGCTGAGTGAAAACGCTCGTGTTGCCGATGAAACAGATTATTTTTAACGATTTTAACTAGTTTGCAAATTGAATTAGGACAATATTACAACATGTGGTCTACCTCATTCGGTTTATCGATTGGGAACACGGAATGGCATATCTGCAACGTTAAATAATCCCCGCAGAGATAAATGCACAATCTCAAGTATTCACTTAATTGTCGTCGAATCGATAAAATCCATTTTAGTTTTACTTGAGTCTAGACGTTTATCGTTACAATTTTGATTAAGTTGCTTTCTTGGTACTATTTGTACATTATTTTTTTTGTTTTAATTTTTTTTTTAGTTTGGATAGCAAGATGCTGGTCCAGCAGACGAAGATGGTCCCTCCAGATGGAGGATGGGGTTGGGTGGTTGTCATAGGAGTCAGTATAGTTAATGTAAGTACAAAATATAATTTCTTTATTTACACAAATTAATAAAAAGTATTATAAGTAAGATGTGAATGAGTGTTTTAGATCAAGTAATTAAATATATCAAGTTTATCAAATTATCTTGTATTCGATTTTTTCTCGATATTTATGCATTTGGGAGCAAAAGTGTAAAAGAGCAATATTGTTAAGAATTAAATTTGCTACAACTTTTGTACAAAAACTTTTTTCTAAAACGTTTCGAACCTCGTGTTCTCTCAACAACAAGATGTAAAATCACGATTTCATCTAATTTTCACCTATTCGAGTTTTTCTTCATATTTATGCATTTGAGAGCAAAAGTATAAAAGAGCAATATTGTTAAGAATTAAATTTGCTACAAAAACTTTTTTTCTAAAACGTTTCGAATCCCGCCCTCTATCAAAAGATGATGTAAAATGACGATTTTATGTAATTTTCACCTATTTAAATTTTTCTCGATATTTATGCATTTGAGAGCAAAAGTGTGAAAGAGCAATATTGTTAAGAATTAAATTTGCTACAACTTTTATACAAAAACTTTTTTTCTATAACGTTTCGAACCCCATGTTCTCTCAACAACAAGATGTAAAATCACGATTTTATCTCATTTTCCCCTATTCGAGTTTTTCTTGATATTTATGCATTTGAGAGCAAAAGGTAAAAGAGCAATATTGTTTAGAATAAAATTTACTACAACTTTTATACTAAAACTTTTTTTCTAAAACGTTTCGAATTCCGTGTTCTCTCAACAACAAGATGTTAAATCATGATTTCATCTAATTTTCAACATATTCGAGTTTTTCTTGTTATTTATGCATTTGAGAGAAAAGTGTAAAAGAGCAATATTGCTAAGAATTAAATTTGCTACAACTTTTATACAAAAACTTTTTTTCTAAAACGTTTCGAATCCCGTCCTCTATCAAAAGAAGATGTAAAATGACGATTTTATGTAATTTTCACCTATTTACATTTTTCTCGATATTTATGCATCTAAGAGCAAAAGTGTAAAAGAGCAATATTGTTAAGAATAAAATTTGCTACAAATTTTATACAAAAACTTTTTTTCTAAAACGTTTCGAATTCCGCTCTCTATTAAAAGAAGATGTAAAACGACGATTTGATGTAATTTTCACCTATTTGAATTTTTCTCGATATTTATGCATCTGAGAGCAAAAGTGTAAAAGAACAATATTGTTAAGAATTAAATTTCCTACAACTTTTATATAAAAACTTTTTTTCTAAAACGTTTTGAATCCCGCCCTCTATAAAAAAAGATGTAAAACGACGATTTTGTGTAATTTTCACCTATTTACATTTTTCTCGATATTTATGCATCTAAGAGCAAAAGTGTAAAAGAGCAATATTGTTTAGAATAAAATTTGCTATAAATTTTATACAAAAACTTTTTTTCTAAAACATTTCGAATCCCGCCCTCTATCAAAAGAAGATATAAAACGACAATTTTATATAATTTTCACCTATTTAAATTTTTCTCGATATTTATGCATCTAAGAGCAAAATTGTAAAAGAGCAATATTGTTAAAAATAAAATTTGCTACAACTTTTATACAAAAACTTTTTTTCTAAAACGTTTCGAACCCCGTGTTCTCTCAACCACAAGATGTAAAATCACGATTACATCTAATTTTCACCTATTTAAGTTTTTCTTGATATTTATTCACTTTAGTGCAAAAGTGTAAAAGAACAATATTGTTAAGAATAAAATTTGCTACAACTTTTACATTAAAACTTTTTTTCTAAAACGTTCTGCTTAGAAAATCCCGAGCTTAGATTAACTAAATTAATTTGGGTGTATAAGCAATGAGCCAAACACGGTGTCATTCTGAGGGCTGTACAAGATGAATGGGAAATAATTGAGGTCAGGTATTTTATGATTTGATAGAAGAAACTGTGGCGAATTGAATGATGTATAGGTCATGATAATCCAGTACATCGTTTAGGAGTTATGACCACCCAAAAAAGGTCATTTTGGCAATATTTTAGCGTTTTAGCGGAATTCGAAAAAGATGTCATATTGGCAAAGGATTAAGCTTTCGAATGATATATTTTTCGTCAAAAAATCCTATCTAATTGGGGTTGATTAGATGAAATAATTTTTTTTGTATGATTAATTTTAGTTATGTACAAGATCAATAGAAACATCATTTGGACTTCTTTTCGGAGAAATTTTATTGGAATTGGATGTTGGAACGACGGGAGCCGCGGTTATTATGAGTACATTGGATGCCCTCATTAATTTCTCCGGTTTGTTCGTTGGCCCGTTGATCAAAGCTTTGTCTTATCGGAAGGTTTCTTTGCTGGGAGCCGTTCTGGTTAGTTTGGGTTTGATCGCAACGTTCCCGGCGAGAAGTATGACGCACATCCTAGCAACTTACAGTATTATTAATGGTGAGAGGATTTAATTAAATTATTTTTCCAAATTTAAATTTATAAAGCTACTCTCTAACTTCTTTTGGAGGAGAAGTGGTGTACTCTGGGTGAAGGAAGAGCATGTTATTTATTTAACTAATATATATTTTTTTTAATTTGGAATCGAGCTTTTTTTCTATTTTATAGCTTTTTTGTATTATTAGGCGGATAAATTCTTCTGATCGGAGACTTGTGTGTTTTTTAGGTATTAAATCTTCTATCCAAAATCAACTATAAAAACGATGACATTTTTAGATACCATGGCTGAAGAAACATTTTTGGCTCAAAGAAAACTGAAACGACAGTGTGATGTGTGAAACGGTTCTTTTTATATTTTAGGTATAGGGGTCGGTTTGACCGCCTCCGCTACGTTTGTCGCGTTAAATCACTATTTTGTTAAAAAGAGGGGCCAAGCGGTTGGCTATTCCCTCGCCGGCACTGCCTTTGGGATGATGCTGATGCCACACGCGGTTCGAATCCTTCTCGAAAACTACAGTTTTCCCGGGGCTATGTTGATACTCGGGGGAGTGGCTATGCATGGTCTCGTCGGGTCTGTTATGTTGGAACCAGCCGAAAATCATTTTAAACCCGAGGTCAAAGATGAAGAGGAAGGCATTTATCATCAGGTAAGTTAAACAAAATTTGATTTTTTTTTTGGGTGTTTGCTATAAATGTTTAAATGTATAGCTGCAAGGAATTTCTTTCTACTTTTCGTCGAGCGAGGTAAATTATTTAACAAACAACATTGTAGAGAAAAAATATTCCTAATTCAATGTAATTACAGTAAAATCTCAATAGCATGACTTAAACGATTGTAGCGAGATTTTACTATACATATATTATACAGGATGTCCGGAAATGACGTGTACAACGCAAGACCAGAAGTACCTTGACCAAAAATATGATGATTTAACTCAACTTATCTATATACAAAATGGCTTAGTTTAGCCGCTAGAGGTTTTAAAAATAATGTTTTTTAATTTTTTTTTTTATATAAATCGAAAAATCCTCGATGGATTTTATTCATTTTTTGGTCATGCATTTGTATCAGTAGATTACAGGGAATAAACTCTCTAATTTCGAAAATTATAGGGTGTTTAAAAACTTTGTAACAATAAATTATGCATCCATATCTTTTTAACTCCCTGTACAAACACTACCATTTTATTTTTCTGAACAGTTACTTTAATTTAAAAACTATTATCTCTCTTACAAAATTTCAGTAGGGTGAACGGTTTAGCCACAAAAATATATTTCGTAAATCCCCACAAGCGCGAATGAGTGATGCAAGGTAACTAAAAACGTTTTTTTTAATAGTTGGCTAGGTATACATTAATTTTAAAAACAAAAACAGTTTGTCACTTAAACTTGACAGCAATATTCGCATTTTTCGTTTTGCCTTTTATCTTCGATTCATCATGAATTTTCAAAGCCCTCTAGCGACTAAACTAAGCAATTTTGTATATAGTTAAATTACGATTTAGTTAAATCATCATATTTTTGGTCAAGGTACTTGTGGTCTTGCGTTGTACACGTCATTTCCGGACACTCTGTATATTATTATACAGTGAGTTTCAAAAGTAACGGATTAATTCGATAAAATCATTACAAACAATTTATGAAAAAATCGCTAAAACAGGTCTAAAGATTTAAATTTGTTGCAATTTTTTGGTGTATATTTTATATTTTTTCAGCCATTTTTAAACGAATTTTGACATCATCGTAGTTTTTTTTAAATGGAACACCCCATTTTTTATATTGGAATTTGAAAGAGGATTTTTTTTCTGAATTATGTACAATAAATATTAATATCGGTTACATAAGAAAATTTTCGAGAAAAATTAATTTAAAGTTTCATTATTTTCCATTCATTTGATATAGAAAATAGCAGTAGCTGTGCGTAACCATGGCAACCAATTGTTTTGATTTAACATTTCCAAGTGTCAAAATTTAAATCTTTAGACCCGTTTCATCGATTTTCTCATAAATTGTTTATAATAATTTTATCGAATTTATCTGTTACTTTTGAAACGAACTGTATATTATATACAGTGTCCGCCAAAAATCAGTAACACCCGTTTTATTTCTGTTCCATTGCATCTACATTTCTGAAATTTAGTTTATGTGGGAGGTTCATACCGACCTTTCGATCTAAAGTATTTTCAAGACTTCGTTATTTTAAATAGAATGCTATAGTTTATATTGCATCTTTTAGTTGTATGCGCAAAAATAAGTTGATTTTGATAAAAGTTATTGGTAATTTTCACCATGCTCTTTAAAACTCCATATCTCAGTAAACGTTCATTCAAAAAAGCTCTAAATTGGCACGATTACTCTTCAAATGCTGTAAAATAGATTGTCATTTGCTGTATCACAGTATCTTGTACAGGTTGGTCAAAAAGTGAATTACCTTTTTCCGCATTCAATGGCAAGAAAGTGAAAATTTTAAATGGTAAGCCCCATATTTGATTAGCTCATCAGGAACCGGTTATATTTTTATTAGAACATGATATTTTGACAGTTTTTCATTTAATTTATTTTTACAATTAACTTTGATTGATAATCTTTTAGTTCACTATCTTTTATTTACCAAAAATAACAAATAGAAGAACAAATAAATGAATCAATGAAAACAAAAATTAGGTTTGGATAAAAAATTTAATTCTCTCACTGGTAGCTTAAAAAAATATGGGGCGTACCATATAAAATTTTCAGCTTTCTTGCCAGTGAATATGGAGAAACGACAATTGATTTTTTAACCACCCTGTATAAGATACTCTGATACAACAAATGACAATCTATTTGAAATCATCTGAAGAGTAATCTTACCAACTAGAGCTTTCTTGAATAAATATTGGCTGAGATAAAACAAAATAAATACATAAAATAAAAACATAAAATCAAAATAACTCGAAAACGAAAAATGCTAAGTACCAGTAACTTTTATCAAAGTCAACATATTTTTTCGCATACAATTAATATAACGAAGTTGAGGTCTACTTCCGGAGGACCGGAAGTGGCCACCACCTTGAAAATACTTTAGGTCGAAAGATCGGTATGAACCTCCCATATAAGCTAAATGTCAGAAACGTTGATGCAATGGAACAGAAATAAAACGGGTGTTGCTGATTTTTTGCCGGACACTGTATATTATACAGAGTGAGTTATTAGTATCCTGGCGGACGATAGTTGCTAAACCGTTTGAGAAAGAAAAAAATGTCTTATACAAAAGTTGTTTGACTCACCACTTTCTATTACTTAAAATTATTTCCACTTATACAGGATGTTCCATTTAGACGTAACGGAGAGTATGTAGATTTTTTTAGATGGAACATTCTGTATATTTTATCATATGAATAGAATTAAATTTGTTTATACAACCATATATGTTAGTAACTCATAGCGTTCATAGTTCCTGAGATATTCAATTGTTTTTCCAAAATGTGTCCATTGCGGGATCTTTGTAAAAACGACATTTTTTCCAATTTTGCCTTGAAACTATGTCAGATAATAATCAAAGCCAGTAGGTAAAGGATAGTATCTAAAAATATTAGATACGCTATACAGCGTGTTCATAAAGCTTAGTTACTTTTGATGTTTTTCAAACGGGTTCTTCATAAGTTTTTTAAATGGAACACCTTGTATATTGTGTGCTGCTTTAATTGCCCATCTTTAATTAATGATAAGTATGTCATATATCTAACTTTAGTTGTTTTCCTGATATTTAGAATTTAAAGAATAATGTGTAATAAAATATGCGTGATTGTACTTAATAATATATTCTGTCTATTTTTATCAGTTTTTTTTGTTCTTCCTTTTAATATTTGATTAATATAAGTAATTAAAAAAAAGATTTATTATTTAATTGTGTTTTTTGTATTTTTATCACGTTTTGGTTATTTATTTATTAAAGTTTTTTTTTAAATTATATTTTAATATAATATTACTAATTTACAAATGACAGACAAACAAAAAATAAAAAAACAAAAAAAGGACATTCTATAAGGAATATATTACATTCTGTCACTTTTTTAAGTACAATAATGACATTTTATTACACATTTTTCTTTTAATTCTAAATATCAGGAAAACTATTAAAGTAAGGAAATACTTATCATTAATTAAAGGGAACTTGATGAGCAATTCAACTAGCACACAATATACAGGCTGTTCCATTTCAAAAACTTAAGAAAAAGCCATTTGAAAAACATCAAAAGTTATTAAGCTTTATAAACAGTCTGTATAGTGTATCTAGATAGGAAGAACAATTGAATATCTCAGGAACTATGAACGCTGTTAAATAGTAACATACACGGTTGTATAAATAAATTTAATTCTATTCATAATATGATAAAATATACAGGTGTTCCATTAAAATAAACTTACTCTCCGTTAAGCTTAAACATGGAACATCCTGTATAACTGAAAATAATTTTACGTAATAGAAAGTGATGAGTCAACTTTTGTATAAAATATTTTTTTGTTTATCACCCTGTATATATTATATACAGGGTGGTTCAGTTTTTAATCGGGAAACTTTACTAGGACGTAGTACTTGCCAAAATAACACAAGTTTTTTATATAAACATAGGGTCGTAACTCGTTTGTTTTCGAGCTATGAGCTGTCAAAATTGAGCCAAAAATTTACATTTTGTTTTGTATTTCGGCTGTAAGTAAACCGTTGAATTTGAAACTTTGTACGTATTTACTACTGGTTAAGACCTTATTTTCAAGCATACTTTAAACTTCCCTAGCGCCCTCTAAGGGGATGAAATTCACCACCCCCTTCATTTTTTTTATAATAACTTTTTAGCGCTATGGAATATTAACATAAAAAAGTATGGGTTGTAAAGCTCATTCTTTAGTGGTATTTTTTTGTCTTTTTAGTATTTTCCTAAAAGTTAATAGTTTCTGTGTAAAAAAATAAAATGTCCTGCCATGTACCACTTTATGCCTCCATGTTTAGCTAAAATTATTCTAAAAGATGGCTCTGAGAACTTGTAAGTTTAATTTACGGTGAATACTCATAATTGTTGATGATTATTAATAATTTTTGACTATTATTAAGCAAGGGTATCAATTTTTTAATATTGTTTAAAACAACGTAATTTCTTCAGATAGACTTTATGGTTTTTTTATGAAAATCACAATTAATTGGAGTTATTTAGTTAGTACTAGATCCTAGTAAGTGCACAACTTTTTTTAATAATACAGCGCTTCATAGCTCGAAAGTAAAAGAGTTGTGGCTCTATGTTTATATAAAAAACTTGTCTTATTTTAGCAAGTACTACGCCCTAGTAAAGTTTCCCGATTAAAAACTGAACCACTCTGTATATTATTGTTATATATTGTATATTATTGCATGGTGCTTAATATTAACTACTTTCTCTATTTGTAGTTATTAGCTTTTTAATGTTGCAAAGAAATATTTTTAATATTTAAATTTTAAAAAATTGATAATAATAAATTGATAGGAAATGGAGACGATAAAAGAAACAGACGACGAAGAAACTGAACAACAAGAAGATCAAACTTTAATAAACGGCAACATAATAATAAAAACTCTCCAAGATCTTGAAAAACAACACATGAACATTCCGAATTTAACTAGAAAGTCAACGTTTCCTCGTAATTTTTCGACGATGAGCTTTGTTAGCCGAAAACGTAAAGATTCGGTTGGTTCAATCGCCTCAAGTATATCTAGGCTTGATTTTACCGGATCAAGTCTTTTATTAAATTTACAGGTAAATCGTTTTTTTTTTTTTTTTGAATCAAATGTAGAAAGTTAAAAAATGTTTTTGTATAAATTAGACTGATAATAATGAACGTAAAACGAGTGCATCGGATGGTTTGCATATGAGACGAAATATGAGCTACCCCGGTGTGCAATTAAATCCGCATCAAAAAATAATGAAGGAGTTACCACATCCGGCACCGCTTTCGATCGCCAAAAAAACTGAAGAGACATTTTGGCAAAAAATAATCAAGTTTATGGACTTTGATTTATTGAAAGATCCGATTTACTTGAATTTAGTTTTTGGTCTCTCCATTTTTTACGTCGCCGAGCAAAATTTTAAAATGGTTACGCCGTTTTTCTTCATGAATCTACTTTATACTAAGACCAACATAGCCATATTTTTATCGATCCAGGCGATCACAGACATCATTGCTCGATTGGTACTCCCTCCAATTTGTGATAGACTGACCATATCCAAAAGGACGTTATTTATGACCGCCATATTTTTACTTGGGATTTGTAGATCAGGTAAGATGAGATAATTTCCAAACATACAGATATTTTTGGTAAGAAATCTTTAATTAATTAAACTTTATTATGGTGATGAATTATGAATTTTAAAGATTTCTTCCAATTTTAATTGGTGTGCAAATTTTTTTTTTGTATATCGATAACTTACACCTCTTTTCAGCATAAATTTGTCTGAAGACTTAAATTAAATTAAAAAAGGTGCTCTTTTGGTTTTTTTATTTATTAATTATTAAATAATCAAGGAGGGATTTTTTATTTTTAATTACTTAGCTTAATAAAACGTTTATGATTTTATCCGCGTTTTTTGGGATGAATTCTTACAAAAAATCAGCTCGTGGCTTCATATCGAGTCCTTCGTTAATAACCAGGTAAAATCATCAATTTTCTTCAATTATCAAATTTAAGAAAAAAATACAACGATTATTGTTATTTATTTATATTTACTTAATTAATTTCTTATCTAATTTTAATTTAATACAACTTTTTTGGTTAATTTGAAATGATTTAAATCTTTTTATGATTTTATTTAATTTTTTTTATATTCTACAACTCCTTTTTTTGGTCCAAACTTATTATTTTTTATGATTTTTTTTCTTGGACTGGGTTTTATGAATTCTATGTTGCGCATTGAACATATTTTCTAATGTACTTGTGAATTTTTGTTGGCAGCTGAATGGAGCCAAACCGAATATAGGTAATCAAAAACTATAGAGACATAAGCTTTACCGTTTTTTGTATAACCGATTTCAGTGCGTAAGATTTCGCGGAACGTTTTTCCGTTTTGCTTTTACGTTAAAACAACTTTTATTTTATTCATTTTTTTAATTGTTGAAATTTAAAAATTTTTTAGTATCCGGAGGGCCGATTTCTTTTTCTCCAAGTCATTCTAATCTTTTAATTATTTATTTTTTTATGGGTTCATCCATTTTTTATTTACGCACCGAGGCATGTCTTTATACCCATTATTCTTAGATCTAATTTATATTTCTGTTGTCCACAGTCTTGGCCGAACAAACGGCGTACATGAGCATCGTTGTATGGCTTGGAATTTGCGGATTTGTTAGAGGAGCTGCTCTTATCAATTTTACCATCACTATTTCTGAATACTCCTCATTGGAAAAATTACCAGCAGCTTTTGGATTACATATGGTTGGAAAGGGACTTTTTGTGGTTGCATTAGGACCGTTATTAGGCAAACAACCTTAATTCTTATTAAAATAAATAAATAATTCGAAATTTTTGTATTTCAGGTGTGATTAGAGATCAAACAAACAGTTATTCAATGTGTTTACATTCGCAGACATTTTTAATAATGCTCTGCTGTACGGCGTGGTGTATTGAGTACTTAATTATCTGGTTCAAAACGAGAAAAAACAGGGATTCCGACTCTGATACTACAACTTAAAAACTATAAAGTAGCACACGCCATTTTAAATGAAAGTCCAAGTATTAAACATCTAAATTATTAATCTTGACCTTTTTGGTTCCATTACATTATGATTAATTAATGTTATATTGTATTTGTGGAACCTACTTACTTACGAAAAAAATGATGAAAAGAAAATTAGATGGTACAACGTAGAAAAAAGTAAATTTCCTTGTTTTCCCTAAGAGTTTTTGTCGTATGTCTTTAAACCAAGCAGTTTGTTCTTACTTCCGTTGACGTAGCCTTGCGTTTATACCGTTCTTTAAGTGCAAGAGTCGACATTACACGATACACTTTCAGTGTGATATTAGTGGTATAAGACTGAATCTATACGCGTGTGAATGAATGACCGTGAAAATATCTTAAAAAAAATTGCTATGAATCTGTACATAGATGATTGTAACTTAGGTTTACGTCTGCTAAATGATGTATTAGCTAATGATGGTTTTATAAATAAAACAATTATAAACTTATTATTTATTTTATTTCATTTATTGTTTTGTGTCACTCTGCTTTAATAAAATCCCTATAGAATTTATTAGGTTACCACTGGAATCTCCACTATTCATCAAACAGCTCTCCCAAATATTTTATTACTTACAAAATAGCCCTATATTTTACTCTGCCATCAGTACTTAGTACATTTCGCTATTCTGTTTTTTTGTACCTCATAATATTTTTGCTGCTCTATTCCAACTGCTTTAACTAGGATAGATATACAATTTGCAAACTAATTCTAGCTGCTTTAATACACAATATATCCAGATCAAGATATCAAACACTATTAAATCTTCCAAGCCTTTTATGGATGCTTGTGAGGATAAGGCCAATGATTGGAGATGGTCCATAGCGGAATAAAGAATATGAATTGCGAGGGAAATAGATCCAACTCATAAAGCAAAGTGCTACACTACAGAGAAGCCGAAAAGCGTTGCAGCAAATAAGAATGTATGTTGATATTGTGAACAATTGGATCACTTCAGAATGGTCTGCAAAAATGCCCCAAACTGCCTGTTTTATGATCATTATTCTGTGCCGCGCGATAGGGCCGTTAAGGTCAATCGATTAGAAAGACCATTTTTCAAAAAATCGATAATCTAAATTAAATTAGACGGATTAGTAACGTTTTCGCCTTCGAAAATTGTTTAATTTTTGCAATAATTAATGTAAAAGTTTAAAATTTCGTTTTTTCTTCTGTTTTCTTCTAGCGCATAAGATTCGTAGCATTGTCTCTCTTCAGGAATTTTATTGATTTTTATCGCTCAAATCTGAGTGACGTACTTTGGAGCTCCAATCGTACGCTCAAATCTGAGTGACGTACTTTGGAGTTCGCGCCCTGTAGTTTCAAACTTTATTATTATTTTTTTTAAACTAATCCTCCGAATCAATACTATACTTAACGGCCCTATTATCAACTTTCTTTTGCCTTGTTACGTAACAACATTCTAATATAGTAGATTTTTTTAACTGATCTCTCCCAATCTACCTGATATTGTACCATGTCTATAACCATGTCTTACCTGGAGGTCATTAATCTTAAGAAACGCAACCAACCTTTCCCAACCTATCTGATATTGTGCAACGTCCATAACCTTACTGAACATTCTTTACCTGGAAGTCATTGAATCTGGTAAACAAAACGAACCTGGAGGTCATTAACCTTAGCAGACATAACTGATCTTTTCCAATCTACCAGACATTGAGCAACGTCCATAACCATACTCAACCTTCGATAAGTTTCCTCGTTTTGTGATCTCGATTTAAAATCCTATCTTATCACGAGTTACCAAAAGTACAGAATCAATTTCCGTTGAGTAAACATACTGTATAAGGTTATCCAACTCCCTATGAACGCTGTTGTTATAAACGTATCCGTCTTTAGAGACGTGCGATTCTAGTTCTAGGTATAGTGTTAGTTTTAGTGATAGTACTAGTGTAAAACTAGAATTAACAACCTCACCTGGAGGTCATTAACCTTAGCAAACATAATTATTTTTTTCCAATCTACCCGACATTGATCAACATCCATAACCTTACTCAACCTTCGATAAGAGTAATATGAACGCTGTTCCGGATGATATATGAACCAGAGGAACTGATGGGCGAGTAACTAGAATGGTCTGGATTATAACTTGCAACAGAGGGACTACCGAAAACCTTGATGGCGTATTGCAAGACGACGGGATGAGGTTGGTGGTCAGATTTAGGTGTCTAATGAAGAGAGGGCCAATAGATCTTGGATGAAGGATGAGGAGAGGGGGTGTAGACTGTGTTGGGAGCTTCATTGTTGGGAAAAGATGGAAACGAACTGTTCTAAATGAAACGATGGGTTGTTTTATCNACTCTACAGAGAAGACGAAAAACGCTGTAACAGATAAGAATAATACGTCATAAATACGTATGTTGATATTGTGAACAATTGGATTACTTCAGAATGGTCTGCAAAAATGCCCCAAACTGCTGCCTCTTTTGTGGTCATCATTCTGTGCCGCGCGATTATCAACTTTCTTTAGCCATGTTATGCAACGCCATTCAAATATAGCAGATTTTTTTATTAAAATGCGGTATATTCAGGTTATTAACCTTAGCAAACATAACCGATCTCTCCCAATCTACCTGATATTGTGCAACCTTACTCAACATTTTTTACCAACCTGGTAAACAAAACTAACTTAACCCAATATTGCTTACATGGAGGTCATTAACCTTAGAAAACATTACTGACCTCTCCCAATCTACCTGATATTTTGGAACTTTACCCATCATTTTTTGCCTGGAAGTAATTCAACCTGGTAAACAAAACTGACCTTACCCAATATTAACTTAGCTGGAGGTCATTAATCTTAGGAAATGTAACTGACCTTTCCCAAACCTGCCTGATATCGCGCAACGTCCATAACCTTACACAACTTAATTCTTTACTTAGAAGTCATTGAACCTAGTAAACAAAACTAACCTTACCCAATATTTCTTACCTGGAGTTTATTAACCTTAGCGAACCTAACTGACTATTCCCAATTTATCCGACATTGAGCAACATCCGTAACCTGAGTCAACCTTCGATAAGAGTAATATTGACGTTGTTCTGGACGACATACCAACCAGAGGAACTGATGGGCGAGTAACTAGAATGGGCTGGTTTGTAACTTGTAACAGAGGGGCTACCGAAGTACATACTTGATGGCGCATTGTATGAGGAGGGGACGAGGTTAGTAGGCAGATTTAGGTGTGTAATGAAGAGAGGGCCAATAAATATTGGTTGAAGGATGAGGAGAGGGGGTGTAGACTGTGTTGGGAGCTTCATTGTTGGGAAAAGATGGAAACGAACTGTTCTAAATGAAACGATGGGTTGTTTTATCTCGAATTAATTCTTTCTCCTTAACCCGTTCTTTTTAGACAAACTACAAAAGAAAACAATTGCTAAGGAGTTATGTCTTTATTGTCATACTATGACGATTATTAATAAATGAGATCTCATTCAAATGAGTTAAACAATGAAAATTAAGGAGATTCTTCTGGCATTTCCTTTGATTCAAGGCACAAGAACTTGCAACATTTGTAACATTGTTTTTTGGTTTTTCTGTTTTTACGCCGGGGCACAAGGAACACATACCAGTTTCCTCAACGCTGGATCCTGGAGGAGTGTTTTTTTCAATACTACTAACGAGTGGCTGCACTAAATCTTTTAGTTTTAAAGGTAAGTTTGGGATTTGCAGTCTTGTATGAGCATGAGGTTTCATAAGTTCTAATGCTAAGTTTTGGTAGTTTACTCCACCAATATTCAACAAACTGCAGACTGGTGTTAGTTTTGTATCTAAAAAACATGGTGGAAGTTCTTTCTTGCTTTTTATTATAGTTTCAACAATTGCCGTTCTTTTGGCTAGCAAATTATACATTGTAATGGTTAAATACTGTTTACTTTGTTGCTAAAACGGTATGGTCACAAAATATATGGTAAAAATTTCTTGAATCTACCGATGCATTGATTTCAATGCCATATTTTGTCGGTTTATTTGCAATATACTGCAGCTTTTTTCCTGCGCAAATCTAATATTTCGAATTTCATCTTTAAAAAATTGATTAGATTGGATTTCTCATAAGAAGTTTCAAGATCCAGTACTTTTAGAAGAGATTAAATAGTGGATGATGAGACTTAAGGATTTCAGATTCCTAAGAATTGGGGTATAAAATTTCTAGTCTTTTCCCAATGCGTTCCTCATCCACGATCCAGTCGATATGAATGATGATAAAGAATGACTAATACCTGAAAGAACTGTTTCAGTATTAAGTATAATTTGAACTCGTACCTACTGGTAATCATACAAAATCATTGGAACTCTATTAAAGTGGTATATTTTGCTAATGCACCGCATTGATTATTATATATCATTTGAAAGAGGAGTCTTTTACCTTTAATTTAAGCTACATTTAATTTTTTAATATTCATAAACAACGCTTCCATTAATTTTCGTATTTACATCATTTTTTAACATTTTTAGGTTGAGACAAAATTTTAGTTTCAACTTAATAATTTTTTTCTCCATAATTTTCTTATCCAACCCAACGATTATTATATATCATTTTAAAGAGAAAACTTTAATCTTTAATTTAAGACAAATCTCATTTCTTAATTTCCATAAACAACATTTCTACAAATTTTTTAATTTCATCTTTTTTTAACATTTTCAGCTTGAATCAAAATTTTAGTTTTAACTCAATAATTTTTTTCTCCATAATTTTCTTATCCAACCCAACGATTACTATATATCATTTGAAAGAGAAAACTTTAATTTAAGACAAATCTTATTCCTTAATTTCCATAAATAACGTTTCCACAATTTTTTTAATTTCATCTTTTTTTTTTAACATTTTTAGCTTAAATCAAAATTCTAGGTTTACCTTAATAATTTTTTTCTCCATAGTCTTCTTATCCAACACAACGATTATTATACATCATTTTAAAGAGAAAACGATAAACTTTAATTTAAAACAAATCTTATTTCTCAATTTCCATAAACAATATTTCTATAATTTTTTTAATTTCATCTTTTTTTAACATTTTCAGCTTGAATCAAAATTTTACTTTTAACTCAATAATTTTTTTCTCCATAATTTTCTGATTCAACCCAACGATTATTATATATCATTTTAAAGAGAAAACTTTAAACTTTAATTCAAGATAAATCTCATTTTTTAATCTCCATAAACAATATTTCTACAATGTTTTTAAATTTCATCTTTTTTTTAACATTTTTAGCTTAAATCAAAATTTTGGTTTTAACTCAATAACTATTTTCTCCATAATTTTCTTATCCAACCCATTGATTATTATATACCATTCTAAAGAGAAAACTTTGAACTTTAATTTAAGACAACTCTCATTTCTTAATTTTCATAAACAACATTTCTACAAATTTTTTAATTTCATCTCTTCTGAATTCTACAAAATAACAATTCTTTAATTTTGTTACCCTGTCATCATCTCACACACAGTATTCTTATCGAACTGTATTTTGAACTCTTATGTTTGCAAATTTAGAAGTAATTGGTTTTTATGTATCATATCATAATTCTTATCTTCGCTATAGATCGCTACTAATTCAACTATTAATGTGAACTCTTTGAAAAAGAATATTAATTGTAGATATCTCCACATTCGTAACATTTCCACAAATTTCTTGCCTTTTTCCATTCATTAATAGATGGCAGAAGACGTTCTAAAAAGTTAATATCATTCATCTAATTTAAATATTTACTCATCATCCATTCATAACATCCATAAATTTACCATGACATGTTTTTAAACTAATTTTAAAAATAAAACAACCACCCACGAATAAAATCTTTTAAAAATAAATTTAAATTTATAACGGAGATTACCCAAAGCAAAATAATTTAGAGAACAAGATAAGGACTTTTATGCGAAAGAATGAGTTACCACGTGACATTCGTGTTGTAATTTCGCAAATAAACTATCAGCACATGTACTGCTATGTTTCGTAGCAGACCTATTTTTAAAAATTGGTTGACACAATGCAAATATGTATTTAAAAAGAATACCGGGAGTATTGTTCCTTCAAGTGTCACAACTGATAACGCTAAGCATTTTATAATTACTTGATCTTCTCATGTAAACCTTAGAAAATGTTTAACGGTTCTTTGGCGAACATTATAAGAGATGGGTGTAAAAGTTGAAAATGTTGGTAAAATTTATAAGAAAGTTCCACCAGAAGGTGGATGGGGGTACATTGTTGGAGGCGCTGTTAGTTTAATGTTTGTAAGTTTTCTAAATTCTAAATTAAATCAAATTTTATCTTTTTTATTAATTTAGATGGTTACAATTGTTCCTACTACAGTTTTTGGGATGGTTTACGGAGAATTTTTAGCTGGTTTAGGAGACGAAACTGGCGCAACCACATTAATAAATGGGGTTTTTAACACAGTCCTATGTTTTACAGGTAAAATAACTAAACGAAAACATTTTTAATCTAAATTAATAAAATAATTTAGGACTACCAGTAAATCATCTCCTTCAAAAATACACTTACCGCAAAGTTGGTTTAATGGGAGCTGGAATCTATTTCATAGGAACCTTAGGAAACGTTTTCGTAACAAATCTCTCACAAATGCTTCTATCTTTCGGAGTGTTCCAAGGACTCGGATTCGGTTTGATGATGCCCGCTGTCTTTTCCGCATTCAATTCATACTTCGATAAACGCCAAAACGTCGTTATGGGTGCTTGTCAGGCTTTAATCGTCGTAGTCAGTATAGGTTGGCCGATTTTAACTAAAATGATGATGGAAGAATACGGTTTTCGTGGAACAGCCGCGATTTTTTCAGCTTTAAGTTTACACGGATTCGTGGCTATGATGGTTTTGCAACCGGTTTCGTGGCACATGAAAAAAGAGGTTGTAGATCCCGTTGAAATGATCGAGGAAGAATTAACCGCAGAGAATCGTTTAATGGACGAGGGCCATAATAAAAATGAGAATCGAAAAGGAAAAAGACCCTCTGTGGCTAGTTTAAATGGTTATGCTTGTTCGTTGCAAAATGTTAATAAGGAATCTCAAACTGATGAGGATCTTGGGATATGGTGAATAATTCTTGAAATTAGATTAAAACTTAAATAAATAAGATTTTTTTTTGTTTTAGGAAAAGAATTTCGAAATCTTTGGATTTAGAACTTTTTAAAGAATCGAGATATGTCAACATAGCGTTTGGTTTGTCATTAGGAATGACTTCGGATTTAGCTTTTATCTCGATATATCCATTACTTTTAATAAGTTATGGTTTTAATCATTCGGAAGTAACGACTTTATTCACTATTTATTTCACCGCTGATTTAGTGAGCAGAATTGCTTTATCGGTCGTTAGTGGAGTTTTTAAAATTTGGAACCGTTATGTTTTCCTTCTTGGCGCATTGTTATCAGCTATTTTTCGGGTGGTGTTCGTTTTAAACAATTCTTTCATTTGGATCGCAACCACAACGGCTATTTTGGGATTTTTAAGATGTTTCATCCAAACGCCGTTACCTTTGGTTGTTGCAGAACAATATGGTGCAAGATTTCCAACAGCTTTTTCGTTGTATATGGTCGTTTGTGGCGTTGTTGCTTTAGCTGTTGGAGTTTTATCCGGAGTTATTAAGAATTTAACCCAAAGTAACACAATGGTGGTTCATTTATTAACGGTTGTTTATTTATTTTGCGCCATCCCCTGGATAATCGAGATTATAATTACGAAATTAAAGAAAAAAAATGATTTGTGATGTGTTTTTTATACTTAAAAATAAAATATGGAAAATTTTCTTGTATAACTTGTTTTTACGAATTTTTTAATCATCATGAATGGAAAATTAATAGATGTAAATATTTGCAGAAAAGTTTGAAAAAATACTTTGCGAACAAAAGGTTCTTTCCAAGTTGGCAAAAAAAGTTGAGATTATAAATCAATCAAAAAAGTGCGATTCACAAAAGGTAAGAGTCGACCAAGAAAAACACCAGGAGGCGTCGACGGGACAAAGAAAAAACTTGATTACATTGTACACGGTGATCTGTTAGCACCTTCGGACGCGTAGCTGTGGATGCTTATGATTTATGGTCCCCAAGACCAGGTTTTATCTAACACAATCTAAATGGTAGTCCGATTCTTCCATTACGATTCGATCAGATAGCCCAAGATGCCGTAAATTACTATTTTGGGGGATTCGCGGTATCCGGGCGCCTGTAATAACGCCCTGTATATCTTCTTCCTTTCACACCTTCGAACATCATAGATTAACATAATTTCGAAAGACGAAGACGCGTAAAGCACCAAAGATAATGATACCCAAATTGCCCAATTTTAATTTATTACTTTCGAATCAAATAAATTAAAATCAATCTTCGACGGCGCGTGAATAATCAATTTAAAAGCGTCTTTTTTTGTACGAGTGAAAAGTGATTTTGTCACGATATCAATCTTTAATTTAAATTTCAACGACAGAAATTTATTTTTTTTATAGTCGTATAATTTTAAGATTCTCACGCAGTCTTTTATGTTTGATGACTGTTGAAAATTGGAGGTTCTCACTTGAAACTGACGTTTAATACGAATTTCCGAGAAACGCAAAGTCTTAATCATGAGCAATTCCGCTTGGCAGTGAAAAATTTTTGCGAGAAGGTGGATGTTTCTGTGATTGATTACGAGGAAATATTTAATTATAAAATGGATAACACTCGCCGACCTGAGGTTATACGCCTCTAGCACTTATCCGCGACTATTTTAATGATAGCATATTATTTAAGCGGGGCCGCAATCAACGTGTCCCGTCCGGACGGGTGTAATTACGAAATTTTAATTGCCCATAATTGAAATACGTTAATTTATCATTTCTACGGAGGTTATTAATTAATTAAGAAGAAAAACCTTTCGTGGTAATCATGTAAAATTATTATTTTTTTACTTGATTACGTACTCACAATGTTACAACTTTTAATTCTTGATGTTTTCTGTGGTTTCAAAGTAAAATATCGTACAAGTGTGTATAATTGATTCCCTTGAAATTATAAATTTCATACTGAAAGTTCCTGTGAAAAAGTTTTGTTGAATTAGTTCTAAAGGTAGGATGTAGTTTTTATATATGTAGACTCCCTAAAAAAATTTAATAATTAATTAAGAAGAAAATAAATAATAATTTTTAGTTCAGTCAATGTATACAATAGAACATCACAACATAATTGGTGGCTTTGGTATGATTTAGTAAGTCCGAGGACAGTAAGTTATGTTATGAACAAAAGCGAGATCAAACGGAATCGTTAATAGACCAAGATCATATTAAAAATTGAATAAAGTTATTCGTAATTCAATCGGATGCAACAAGCAGTGAAAATGTTATGTTTTTCTCCATATTTTCCTAATGCACCGCATTGATTATTAGATATCATTTGAAAGAGGAGTCTTTGACCTTTAATTTAAGCTACATTTCATTTCTTAATATTCATAAACAACGTTTTCATTAATTTTCGAATTTACATCATTTTTTAACAATTTTAGGTTGAGACAAAATTTTAGTTTTAACTTAATAATTTTTTTCTCCATAATTTTCTTATCCAACCTAACGGTTACTATATATCATTTGAAAGAGAAAGCTTTAAATTTTAATTTAAGATAAATCTTATTCCTTAATTTCCATAACTAACGTTTCCACAATTTTTTTAATTTCATCTTTTATTTAACATTTTTAGCTTGAATCAAAATTTAAGTTTTAACTCAATAATTTTTTTCTCCATAATTTTCTTATCCAACCCAACGATTATTATATATCATTTTAAAGAGAAAATTTTAAACTTTAATTTAAAACAAATCTCATTCCTTAATTTCCATAAACAACATTTCTACAATCTTTTTAATTTCATCTCTTTTTTAATATTTTTAGGTTGAGACAAAATTTTAGTTTCAACTCAATAATTTTTTTCTCCATAATTTTCTTATCCAACCCAACGATTATTATATATCATTTTAAAGAGAAAATTTTAAACTTTAATTTAAAACAAATCTCATTCCTTAATTTCCATAAACAACATTTCTACAATCTTTTTAATTTCATCTCTTTTTTAATATTTTTAGGTTGAGACAAAATTTTAGTTTCAACTCAATAATTTTTTTCTCCATAATTTTCTTATCCAACCCAACGATTATTATATATCATTTTAAAGAGAAAATTTTAAACTTTAATTTAAAACAAATCTCATTCCTTAATTTCCATAAACAACATTTCTACAATCTTTTTAATTTCATCTCTTTTTTAATATTTTTAGGTTGAGACAAAATTTTAGTTTCAACTCAATAATTTTTTTCTCCATAATTTTCTTATCCAACCCAACGATTATTATATATCATTTTAAAGAGAAAACTTTAAGCTTTAATTTAAAACAAATCTCATTCCTTAATTTCCATAAACAACATTTCTACAATGTCTTTAATTTCATCATTTTTTTTAACATTTTTAGCTTAAACCAAAATTTTAGTTTTAACTTAATAGTTTTTTTCTCCATAATTTTCTTATCCAACCCTACGATTATTACATATCATTTTAAAGAGAAAACTTTGAACTTTAATATAAGATAAATCTTGTTTCTTAATTTCAATAAACAACGTTTCCACAATTCTTTTAATTTCCATCTTTTTTTAACTCTGTTTTTTTATTAAATGTACAACAAATGTTTGCGATTAATTGATTTATAAATCTAAAATTGATAAGGTTGCTTGAACCATTGATAAGTTTGAATTAAAACAGCTTTCGAGTTGGGTTGGTCTGGGTTTTCCACGATCTCAACCCAGTCCAATCCAACCTAATCCAACCCAACCCAACATCATTAAATCAGTTAAATTGAATCGCGAAACAATTTTGCTTGACTTGGGTTGGCATGGCTTGACTTGGGTTGGCATGGCTTGACTTAGTTTGCGTTTCCAATCCAACCCAAAAGTTATTTTAATAAATCAATTACATTTTTGAGCATTTTTATAATAATTTCATACTTGTTTAACATGACATTTTTCTGGATTTTGAACACCCCCCATTTTTAAAAAATCGATCCAAAAAGTATTAATGTATTTCTTAAAGATGTTACAAGCATCTCCAAATTTTACATCGATCAAATTATCTCTCCAAGAACCTTCGGACCATTTTCGAACGATTAATTGCAACTAAAAATATTTTTTAAAAACCAATTTAAAGATTATTTTAATACTCACAAAAAATGTCTCATCCAAATCTCTACTCATCGTAAAATTCCCATTAAAAACCTTAACACTTTTATTATACCTAACGTATTCAGCTTCTAACGGTGACGGTAATGGGGTATTTTCATATTCAGGACATTGAGTTATATGGGAAATATCTATTTTATATTCAGAAACCAATTGTAATAAAACATTAATTATTAAGGTAAACCAAATAACAACTTGATTTAACATTTTGTAAAAATGTAGTGATTTATTCTTTTTTTTTTTGTTAAAATTATTCCATTTCAGCACGGATGTTTACATAATTACACCGATTTCTCGACGTAAACGAGACGAAACCAGTGCAATGAGGCACGTAATATTCGTAATATCCTTTTAACCGTTTCAGAGAATGTCGCCGAATCATTTCCCTTGTGATCACGGATATCAAAAGGCCGTCAAGTAGATTCAATTTTTTAAAAATGTATATAACGGGCGCGAAGATGAATATTTAATAGCCCTAAAAAATCGACCGTCCTCAGGGTACGCCTCTCGTATCTTGTTATTCTGGGTCTGGCACTCTTGGGAAATAGCTGCTTTAATGCGTTAAAATATCTTGAAGTGGTCGGCGATTTTTCTTATTAATTTTGGCTTTGCTAAATGGGTGCTGATATAGGAGGGGTGTGGCGAAAAAAGGCAAATCACCTTTGTGAGCGATATATCGGATATTATGTTAATGAGCGTGGTCTACTTCTAATAGGTTATCTCATGTTGTTACCGCCTGTGGTGAAGTAAATTGTTACGATTACTTTGTTCATGATGGATATTTTATTTTTATAATGTTTATATTAAAATTTTTTTAAGGAACCCCTAATAATTGTGGAACAAGTTCGGTGGTAGTTTATTACTCGATACCCGGGAGGTACTCGGAAGGTGGTGGACGAACCGGAGAGAAGGGCAAAAGCACCTGCTTCAAGATGCACCGAGAGGGGACACAAGGATAGGCTTGAAATATCAAAATCGTCGGCAGAGGGTCGTCTGATGATTACCAGAGCCCCCAATATTTAAATATCAGCAGGTGTACTGATATAAAACCGTTACCATCTTCGTTAGATCTCGACCAGTTGAAACCCAGCTGAAGCTTAGCTAATCATTAAAACAATAAAATAAAATAAAATTGTCTAATTATTTAGCCAATTTTGTTTTGATGCCCAAAAAAAAGTTGATATCTAAAACAATTTATCTGGTTTGACCACGTGGCTAAAGAAGAAGTAAGACAGGTGAATTCACCTGCCTCGACACACAAGTTTTTGGTAGATTTGGGGTCCGCCCAATGAAAGAAGAAGGCACGAGGGCTCCACGAGTCGTCCGCGATGAGAACTCCAGCCCTCGACGCCACAGCAACGCGCTAGAAATAACAGATCCAGTTAAAATTATACACTTTATCTGCTATTCCGAGGTTGCCCCCATGCTTTTTGCTTCTTCGTTTTCGGGGGGCGTCCTCGACTGGCAAATTAACCGCTCACCCTTTTCGTTCGCAAAAAAAGTAAAGCTCGCGCGAAGACGATGACCCGAGTTAAAGTGTAGAGCCAACATGGTTATTAAGAAAAA